GGGTATTCCAAAAATTTTCGCCCTAATTTCCACAACACACAATTTGTAACCAACCATGGTAATTTCGGGAGTTTTCTGGAAAGAATCCGCGCATTGGATGATCCGGGCTGTTTTTGTGGATGCCGCATTCAAGATTCTACTCACCTTTTACTTAAGTGCCCAGCATTTCAAGACTACAGACTCAATAACGGTATTCACTGTACCGATCCAAGAGAACTGATATCCAGCAGGGATTCATACATTGTATTCAATAGATTTTGTAAATTTATATCAAAGTTTTTAAATAATCTCAAGTGTTAGGTATAATTAACTATGTGCTTTATATATGATTTTTTCCCCCTTTTTTCTTTATTTTGAGGTGTGTTTAAATTAAATTACCTATGTATATAGTATGCTTGTTTGAAATCAATTTCAAGAATATGGTAAATGCCTTGAGCATATGTTTTTGGATATATAAATAGATTCTCCCTCTCTCTCTCTCTCTCTTGTATTGCTTTCCTTTGGGCGCCAGTGTCCTTGGCGGGACATCGCGCTTTGTATTTACAGTTGAATAAAGTTGAAAGTTGAATATGTAAATATTTTATTTGCCTTTTATTCAGATTATAATTTCTTATTTTTTTCATAGATATTTTATTTATAATTTATTTATTTCAACACACAAACGCGATATCCCGGCTAGGGATAATTGCGTCGATTTACATTTTTTTTAAACAGAAACAGTTATAAAATTAAAAAAAAAAGTAATCGAAATAAAAAGAGAAAAAAAAATATATATATATATATATTAGGAACCTGAACCTTTCAGGTTTGAAAGAAAATCATGAATATATTTACAAAAATAGTTAAACTTATGATAATTCTCTCTGCTATATAGATATTTATTTTGAAATATAATTTGCAAGTAGGAGATATTGATCGATTTTTTTTTAATTATTTTTTTTATTTTTTACTTATCCCTAGTACACGTGGTACAGGCCATGATAATCATGGTGGGTAGTTAGCGACTGCTTTTACTGTAAGCGCACCACATGTCTACACATGTGAAAAGCAGTTCGACTTTGCACTTACAAATGCCAGAGCCCCGTTTGGTTACTTGCACTCGCTGGTGGTGTTGGACCTTTACAAGAATCGGGGGCCATTAGAGCATTTTTTTTAACAGAAAAAAGTGTCCAATACGGGAATCGAACCCGGGTCCTAGTGGTCAAAACCAAACGGTTTAACCAGCCTTCCACCGACCCCCCTATATTGATCGATAATAAAGGCTACCTCTCCCGTAAAAATAAACACTGAACTAAACGACATATATTGTTCTTCTAGCGGACTTGAATCCGTGGCCCTAGCATTAGTAAATTGTTAGAACCATAGCCTTGTTCTCAAGGTGGGAGTTGTGGATTTACCAAAGCTGTTGTTTTGACTTGTCTATCGCCAACTTTAATTTGCTACTTTATTAAATAAAGGATAGTTCATCATTTAAATGTCTCAACAATTAATATTTTCCTAGCCTTTCCCTATCCTTTATGAACCTTCGTATAGAATTCGATATCACCCTCTAATTAAGCATCACACGTAAATAATTGTTTGTATCGAGTGTGTTGCCTATTTATGATTAAATAAATCACCCTTGTGAGAGATGAGGCACACTAGGTATATCCTGTTGAGTTTCAACAACCAGAAAATGATATCAAATCAAGTAGCGAGTACCTTTTAAATTAATAAATTGCTTCACACTCAATGACTTGCGATTCTTGTACAATTCCAATATACAGTTATCAGCGTCATAATCAATTCTTTCTTAATTAATTCTGTCAGCGTTTGCTTTTGTGAATGGAATAAATACCCGAATATGGCCATTTCTCATAACCATCGGTGGTTCAGTGGTAGAATACTCGCCTGCCACGCGGGCGGCCCGGGTTCGATTCCTGGCCGGTGCATTTTTTTTTTAACAATTTTTAAAACTCATTCATATATTATACAAGAATGACATCCACGGCGCCAATTTATAATTGTAACGAATAGTATTTGAATAAAAGCATTTAATCGGGTAAAACCCGGGCGTTGCCCGGGTCATTCGGCTAGTATTATTCTAAGTTAAAATGTTCAAGTAGAGATATGACACCTTGTAAGCACAAAACCGAATTGTTCTCTACAAATGTCGACACAACATGTGTTGATTTATTAGTAATCTTCAACTTCCCATTTATATTCCAAGTGTCGATCTAGGGACATAATTAAACAGATCATATTTGCTTGAAAAATTACCTGGAAATTCTACACTGAAATATATCTTTGTTAATATATTTCATATATAGTATTATATATTCAGCAATATATAATTAACTCAGCTTATTGGATAACTCTCATAATTACCTATTTATAATTTATATTTAGATTATTTTTAAGATGATGTTAAACAATAAGAATTAAACGCAATATTATAATTTTAAAATAAAAATTTTCATTAAAGTTTGAATAGAACTTGAATTCAACAAATCTAAAAGAAATTTTGATTGAATTTCTTTTAATTGAAGAATTAGAGGAAGTGTTGGAAGTTTTTGTTCAAATATCCGTACAATCTTTATGAAGTTTGTTCGAATGAAGTTTAGAATACGATAAAAATGAGAAATAAATAATAATTTGAATTGTATACTGCGATTCTTCTTTTTCTTAAAATAAATATGACTTTGTATATCAAAATTAAATTAAATAAATCTGCTATATATAGGTTATATATAATATAAAAAAAGAGATTTGATTTTCTGCTTGTATTTATGATCATCTTGGGGATTATGCTATGGAGTTATTTGTTTGTTCTTTTTAGTACTAAATGGTATTGGTGATGCAGTCGTGGCCAGAATCTTGAAAGTAAAACAATAAAAATAGTTTTGATAAGAGATTGCTTTAATTGAGCTTTAGGATAAACATAATTTGGCAAAAGTAATGCCTGGCTTAAGGCGAGTAAACAAAGAAAACAAAAGATTATTTACATAATGTACAAGTTTTGAGCCGACCAACGGGGAAGAACAACAACGAGTTTTTATAGGGGAAGCATGACCTCTGGCGGTCGATTTAGCAGTATTTGTATTTATGAAATATATTTTTAAATAAATTAATATTTTAATATAACATTTTAAATAATACCTTCATATAACATATATATACATGAAATTGGTGAATATTAATATATAGAAATTTTTTGAAGCTATTCTGATATATAGAGTATACATATATGTCATAATTTACATAATACCCAAGAGGTATAATTTATTTTCGCCAAAATAAGTATGTTAAACTGTAAATATGTTAAGCTTGTGTTAAAATGTAAATACGATTCCATTCATCTATAAATACACTGTATAAAATAAACTGGGGGCCAGCGCGGGCGAATGCTACGGCACACCGCCTGTGCGCGCCCACTTGGCTGGAACAATTTTTCGAAGTTTACATGCATAAAAGTTGCACCCTTCCATTCGATCACGATATATATATATATATATATTAACTTTTAAAGTAGAAATAGAGATAATTAATATTTTTATTTTAATTATTTACTCATAATAAGAATAAATTGGTATTTTAAAATTAATATATATAGGTCTAAATTTAGAGTATAAAGTAGGAAAAAGTGTTATAGGTATAAAATATTGTCTTCAAAATTAATTCTTTGGTTATATTAGACAAATATGTTATAGTGAAATATTTAAAGTAGTTCATATCAACCTACTTGATTGAATATTCTATAAAAACTGCCATAAATTCCATATACCAATCCCCAATAGGACCGAAGTTTGATTTACTCTAGCCATAGTTCATTATAGATATACTTTGTTTTATTATAAAATATTATATATTCGGTATTATTTCAGAACCCAGTCATAATGTAAATTCCGTTATTCACTCGGATAGTGATTTATCGAGATTTTACTGTATTCGAAATAAATATGAACGTACTATTGATCTACTTTGAAAGTTTCATAATAAAAATATTCAACACACTAAAATATGTAATTTAAATTATACATTCGTTAATTTATTAATCAATGTATGTAGGAGTGAGGTAGTTCCAAGTGTTTATCCAGATATCTTATATCTCTGACAAAGTAAAAATAGAATAAAATATATAGCAGAAAATGAAGAGAGCGAAGAAGAAAGAAAATCTTGCCGAATTTAAAGAAATGTCATTACACCCATCCTGGTGAAGAAATAATAAAATGTTTACTGCCCCAAGCTCTCGTCTGAAAACTCCTTTTTCTTTTAATATCTGCCTGGGAATCTCAGCTTGGATTTCAAGTGGGATTTTCTTATAAAAATTTACAATTGCTCAGTTCGCGCTATCAAACATTTATGACAAATTTGAGGTATAATATATATTTTGAATAATAAAAATATTTTGAAGTTAGTTTTATTTATTTTATTATAAGATCTTTATAATTCTGGTTTTGTGTAAGAAATAAAGACTATGAATGTATTATAAAAACCCAGATAGATTTCGTTTTTAGAAAATAAAAAGGTAGGGACCTATATTTACAATAACCATACTTGATAATGAGATACTAGATATATTCATATATAATCACAAAAGGGAAAAATAAATTCATTAAACGTTCAATCAGCCTGTTCCCCGATATTTTTGATACTATAAAATATGATATTTATTTAGCTTCATTTTAACTATCTTTACTCTTTATCTTATACTAATATTATTTCATATATTATATTAATAGATATACCACTACTTTAATTTATATAAATATATAAAGGTTTTAGGATAATTTTATATTGAGTTGATATATAGTTTCATCATAGTAAGCTATTACCGAACAGTAATATTTAAAGTAGTGTTATATCCATAATTTATCAAATATTCTATTAAAAGTTACGAGCGTCATGGCCTCTGTCACGGTTTGCCGGCGCCCTCCTATTGGTCGGCTACGATCACGCCACCTTTGCCCCCCCCCCCCCCCCCATCATTTGGTGCCGCCAATGCGCGAGACACTTCTGTCACCGTTTGCTTTAGGTTCAGTGGTAGAATGCTCGCCTGCCACGCGGGCGCCCCGGGTTCGATTCCCGGCCGATGGTTTGGGGCGGGACGTTTCACAAGAGTGACATCTACGGCGCCAATATATAATTGTAACGAATAGTATTTGAATAAAAGCATTTAATCGGGTAAACCCCGGGCGTTGCCCGGGTCATTCGGCTAGTATATATATATATATATGAGTTAAGAAAAAAAAACACATTTAACCAACCCAAAAGAAAAAAAATCTATATACAACAGAACAAAATAATAATTAAAAAAGCTTTTGTTTGTGGGTCAAATTAGAAAAAAATATTTGTATATTTTTCTCTTTGAAAAAAAAATATGTTATATTAAAATATTATTTTATTAAAAAAAAAATTATATTTCTTAGATACAAATACTTTGTTAAATCCACCACCAGAGGTCACGCTTACTCTATAAAAAGTTGTTGTTCCCCGATGGCCGGCTCAAAACTTTTGTACATTATGTAAATAATCTTTTGTTTTCCTTATTCTACTCGCATTATACTTTTATCAAATTATGTTATTTTATATATTCCTTTAGTTCGATTAAATTACTGATCTAAATTATTTTTATAATCATACTTTCAAGATTTAACCACGACTGCATTATATTACCATAATCCTCAACATGATCAAAAATCAAGTATAAAATCGAATCTCATTTGTTTTTATAACATATATATATATGTGATATGATCCTGTCGACTCTTCTGTGGTATGATCCTGTCGACTTTCTATGTGGCAATATAGTGATAATAATGTGGTGAGGAGAGAAATAATCACACGACGAGTTGGTAGAGGAAATAACCCAGGCAGCCAGCGAGAGAGACGGTGCGCGAGGAGCTTCCCGCTGAACGCCCGTTTCTTGTGTCCACCACCCCCCGACTATCTAAAAATAGTCCGGCAGGGATCCCAGAAAAGCCCCCTCAGGAATGTGTCCAAAATGGTCGTAACTTAGTTGTCTTCTATCGACGTCTCTCTCTCGTTGACTGTAGGTTTACTTTATTATTCCTGGAAGAGCATATATTATGACATATATATATATATATATATATATATATATATATATATATATGATAATTTAAGCCAACAATTCCCTATTGTATATAACTTATAACAAAATTTTCATGTTGTATAATAGGAACACATCTGTAAATGATTATACGCATGATTGACATGTGTCCTTACATCATCATATGTAATGTAATTTGTAAAAACTGAGGATAATAAATAAAACTCTGTAATAGATTAAGAGTTGAGCTAAGCAAGAGATAGAAGTCATAACGTCTAAAATCGAGATAGATTTAGAATTCCCACAACAAGGTCTAAAAATGGAAACTGCAACGGCGCCAGTAGAATGACCAGACGACCCCCTCTCACATCTGGTGACATACAAAACCCCCTTTCTCAGAAACGGTACATAAAGCCCCGTCTTAACCTATAAATACAGTCACTTCACAGTCACTTTACAGTTAGTTCAGCATCTGTGCGAGCCCACGTCGGTTGTACCTCAGATCTTCCTCATCCATCATGTAGACTAGTGAGAAACTTCTATCTCCCCATCTTTCGCTCCTAGCTCAACTTTTATCTGTTCACGGAACTTTCTTATTGCAACTGTGTCTTCGTTTTTTGTGTGGGCATCCCCAAGCTTTCCTCTCTGCCTCGACCACGACTGCCTGTACTTTGAGAGAACTTTTAAAGGTCTTCCAAGGTGCAGAGAGGTACTGGAAAACTCCCCATCCTGACTGTTCCTCTCGGTCAACACAGTATAGCGAGAGTCAACACTTCATCATCACAAAGTTAGTCGACATGATTCTACAAGTGTCAACAGTAACTCAACTTATTACAGATAGTCGACAGGATAACCAAAACGAAGGATGACCAAAACGAAGGATGACACAACGAAGAAGGTAAGAAGCCTGGCCAGATAGAAACGAGAAAGAGCAAAGATGGAGGAACAACTCGACCATTTCAAGGAAACGACCGAGCAATCTCTCCCCCAAACAAGAGACGGTATTTTAGGAAGAAACGCCGTCCCAAGGGACCTCCGCACACCCGCTACAGATCGTCAACGCCAGGAGCAAGCTGACCACCCCTACGACACAGTCGAAATTCCCGCAAGTCATGGAAATCAAGGAGCAGAATGATGCAAACCCGGTGACAAGTTCCACCTTCGACCTGACATCGTCGAGACAATGCTCAAGGCGACAAGCCGCAAGCAACTTTACAGAAGCTACAAGCTTCTACAATATCTACATGGAGCGACTTCCACGACAGCAGGACGAACACCAAAGACCAAGTCTCCTGACTGAACAATCATCACACAATTGTAAGTTAAAAAAAAAAAACTACCTTAACTTTATCCTCAAGTTCACAACTTGATTCAACATAAATTTTGTATTTATATTTTCACTTTAAGCATTTTAAAATCAATTTTTACCTTTTTATATATCATTTTATTCAATTTTTAAAACTTTCACACTCTCATTTATCAAATTTACGTTAATTTTTAATCAGATTATAAATTTCAATTTACTCTCAGTTTTACTTAAAAAAAAAAGAAAATTCTCTCATCACGCATTTTTACCAATTTACTAATCTTACATGTCGTTCTTAAATTTATCTAAAATGGTACTATCCAAATCTACAACTTAAAAAAAATCATTATTTTTATATTTAAAAAATAAATAAAAAATCTCATCATATCATAATTCAAAACTTATTTTTGTTTTTACAAAATCTCTCATTCATCATAATTCTAAACTTATTTTTGTTTTTCTTATTTGTTATCTTTATACCAAAACATCCATTTCCTAATCAAATTCTTAAAATTTTGTAAAAATCATTGTCGTTATTACCATCTTATGTAAACGCCACAATTCAAAATATTCTTGTCACTATCACGACAGTGCCCTTTTAAAAGGATCATTTTAACTACCATAATCAACGATTTAAAAATATATTCAAATTTTAAATATAAATTAACATAGGTGAAACAATTTCGTAATTTCAGAAATCTTTTGTGATTTCTCTCTTGAGAGACAATATCTCAAAAACATAACAACTATCCTTCCCCAAAATAAGTTAAAAATCCAACATAGTCACACTCCCTCGTCTTTTCCTTTTACATGCATGGTTGGTCATCAGCACATTTCTTTCAACAAACCTTACAACATTCCCACACATCACTCTCTCCAATTGGCAACAATTTTTTGTGCGCGACTTGACACACAAATCCAATTTCGAGCCACAAAAGCTCCATATCGCCCACTAAACACTCAAAATATTCCGTATTAAACGTGCCATATCCACTAACAATATAGATATTCTCGATATATGTTCGTACAACCACCACTCATGACTTTATTAAATTTGTTATTCATGGTGACACAGGTTAGATTTTGTACCAAACTAAGACTTCACGTGACACCTTTTCATTCACAATTTCTCACTTCGTGTCACAGTGCCACACCACAAAACCTTTTCACTTTTCAGGCCAAAGACGCCTTCATGCCTGTGACACACTCACCCCAAAGCGTGTCCACGTCGAAAGTCGAACTTTCACCACACATCTAAACCTGACATCACTGAATAACCTTTTTACTAAGTCTAAACAACTTCGAAAACATAACCACTTACGAACATCGAGAAAACTATATTTTCAAATAGGCAAGAAAATTGCCAAAACTTCAACAAAAGAAGAGATTGAAATCAGTTTCAAGTAAAGGACAAACATAGCAAAACATCTCCCACGATTGACCACCCACGACGATCTATTTAAGTTACATATCCCCGTCCAACGTCCTTCTCCCCGCTCAAGGCAGATGTTATTGACCGCTGTCTTCATATGCGCCATTTTTTTTAAACACATGTTTCACACTAACCATTTAGGTTTTTGATGTGGATGAACTTTAAAAAAATAATTAAATATGAGTGATTGAATATTAATTAATTTATTTTTCTATTGTTTTTTGACCAAGAAAAGGTAAATTCAATCTATCAAAAGATATGTAAATTTTGTTCGTTCAATTTTAATTTTTAATTTTAGTTTTGCTTGAGTTGCATGTAAATATACTTAAGGAAGAAAAATAAACTTCTTTTTCTTTTATAAGTGCAGACTTCTTCTGTTTGATATAAATTTCTAGAAAATTAATTAAACATCAAAATTAACAATGGCGACGAGGCTTTCGTTCGAACCTTATGTAATGAAAGAAGAACCTTTCGAAAACTATATTCAACGATTCAAACAGTACATTTTTGTGAATGAAATTGAAGGTAAGAAGATTGTTCCTTTTTTTATTATGTCTATTGGACCAAATACTTATGGAATTCTGAAAGAATTGATCTCACCTAGAGATGTTTGTGCATTAGAATTTGAAGAAATTGTTAGTGTTCTACTTACTCATTTTACACCTAAGCTAAATATTATTTTTGAAAGATATGAGTTCAGCCAATTGATTCAGGAACATGGAGAAAAAATAGAAGAATATGTCCTTAAATTAAAAAAACAAGCTAATAAATGTAATTTTGGCTTAAATATTGAAGAACACCTAAGAGATAAATTCATTGCAGGCGTTTCTAATCAAGTTATTTTGAAAAGATTACTTCAAGAGCCTGAGCTCACTTTTAATATGGCAGTAAATATTGCTACCACAATAGAATCGGTAGATTGTAATGTGTTGAAAATGAAGTCTTATGCTGAAACTAAAGAAATAAACAAATTACATTCTAAATGCAAACATTGTGGAAAGATGAATCATCATTCGGACAGATGTTTTTTTAGAAATTCTTTCTGCTATTCTTGTAAACAATTGGGACATATATCGACTGTTTGTCATTCAAAATCTAAGAATGGATATTTTCAACCAAGAAAGAGCGAAGCATCTGCCCACGGAGAATCATTTTCGGGAAAGAATGGTGAGTCCATCAATAATATAGAATATCTGGCTAATAAATTTGAAAGTATTTTGTATGTCTTCGACATAAAATTCTTAGCAGAAATTGACACGGGTGCAGCTTTAACAACTATGTCAAAAG